AGGCGTCGGTCGACAGGGGAGGTTTCAAAGACAGGTAACGACTCTCACCGATGTGCAGGATGGTTGTCTCCTCTGGGGATCCAGAGTGATTGTTCTCCCTCCAGGGCGCTGACAAGTGATAGAGGAGTTGCATGTGGCGCACCCAGGCACATCACGGATGAAAAGTCTCACCAGGTCATTTGTAGTGGCCAGGAATGGACAAGGCTCTGGAAGATAAGGTCAGAACATGTTCACAATGCCAGAATAGCCAAAAGTTGCCCGCACCAGCTCCACTACATTCATGGGAGTGGCCAAGCCGTCCTTGGTCCGGCCTCCACATAGATTTTGCGGGCCCGTTCAAAGGGGACATGTTTTTAGTGCTGGTAGACACTCCCATTCCAATTGGCTAGAGCCACATATCATGTCAAACATCATGGCCCCCACTACCACGGAAAAACTCAGAAGTGTCTTTGCTACGCATGGTTTACCAGAGACCGTAGTGTCGGACAATGGCCCCACTTTCACCAGTGAGGCTTTCCGAGAGTTTATGGAGAAAAATGGCATCCGACATGTCCGCACAGCTCCGTATCATCTGGCCTCAAATGGCTTAGCGGAGTGAGCGGTGGAGACTCTGAAAGAGGAATTGAGGAACATTCAATGGAAATTAAGCTATCTTGCTTCTTATTCCAATACCGGATTACCCCACACATGACAACCGGGGTGTCCCCAGCAGACATGTTGCTGGGGAGGAGACCTAAATCTCACCTGGATATCCTTCACCCAGACATAGGAGCAAAAGTTGTCCAGAGGCAGGATAAGCAGAAAGACCAGTGGAACTAACACGCTAAAGTCAGACATTTCAAACCAGGGGACAGTGTATTTTTCAAGAACTCTTCCCAAGGACCAGCATGGCTACCCGGTGTCATCGTGCATGAGACTGGAACGGTGACTTTCCTAGTGGATGGGGAGGATGGCCAGCAGAGCCATGGGCGCCAGGATCATTTGCGGAGTTGCCCAAAGATGGCAGTGGAACGGTTGCAGAGTGATGCGTTGGGGGACTTTGGGAATAGCTTGGAGGTCGAGGAGCAGGACGCACCACAACCAGCTGAGGGTCTGGGTGTACAGGCCGAGGGTCTGTCAAAACAAACTGAGGATCTTGCAGCTCAGTCCGCTCAGCTAAGCGGTGCACCTGGAGAGGGAATGGCACAAGTTACCCCTGAGGTCACAGGGGGTACAGCGAAGCTGAGGAGGTCAAAAAGAAGACGCGGGCCTCCAAAAAGACTGATCTGTTGATTTGTAAAAGAAATGTGTGCGTGGTGTGCGCTAAGCATTTAAATGGGGGGGGGGGGGGGGGGTAAGGTGAGAAAAAAAAAGAAAAAAGAAAAAAAATGTTCAGGTTCATAGCATGTGGTTTATTGGAATAGTCAGTACCCCTGTGGAGATACTGTTTTCTAGGGTTTTCCACCCTCAAGTTGGAACTTAAAGGGGGAGAGGTGTTATAGTTTGAGGCTGTTGAATTGGGAGCTAGGAACCTTAGTTAGGCATCTTGGGGGAACATGTTTTGTAGGGCATTATTACAGGACCAGTAGTTGCCCCGGGTTTTTGGGCAGTCAGCTTGTGAGACAAGTGTTCCCTGTGTACTGTTGTGCAGTTGTTCAGTAAAGTGTTGAAACCGACCAGCGTTCTTGAGTTTGTACCCCATCAAGTTATTACACTGCAGTTATATAAATATCATTCATCATTTTGGTTGTCATAATAATAATTGTGCCATTTGTAATGTGAAGCTGCAATTAGTATAATGCTTTTTATATTTGCAGATACTCTGGCAAATAACCACTTGTAAAAATAAGGCCAACTCTGGAACAAACAGTACGTTTTAATTCACATTAATGGAAAATGAGCATTTTTCAATACATATCAACATGGGGGCCTGTCTTTGATCAGTTTTGGATTTTTTTTTAAATTGGTAATTTCGCATATACCATTTTCACTATTCGATGCATTTTGTTATACCCATCTCAGTTTTACTTCACTTACTGTAGTAACTAAAATCAAGCTATAATTCTGAAGGGTAAATCAGTCAGTTTCCTGCACATACTGGATGTTTGACCCCTACAGGGAGGGGATCCTGTGGATCTGTGGATCTGCAGTTTCCTTATTACTTCTAGCAGCTTGACACAGAACTGCATAGATGATGACCAGCCCCTCTGTCCCATGTGGCATTGCCATATGGAGGAACAGTCATCCTCATCAGTCTAGCATTCCTGTAGTCCGAGTCACTGCTTGTCACTTTTGTTCAACTGCTGCCATATCCAGCTATAAGACTATTATTATCATGTTTATTGCTACACTAGGGGCTTATATCACTAGTGCCACTCACTCACAACTCACATATTACAAATGGGTAACAAATGAAAGGAAAACCCAACACAAGCTGTCTCAGTAAGGTGTCGGGCCACCACCTGCTGCCAAAACAGCTTCAGTGCACCTTGGCTTCGAGTCTCCAAGTCTCTCAACTCAACTGGAGGGATGAAAAAGATGTTCCCTTGTGTGGTGGAGACGCTGTCTAACACATCAGTCTAAAATCGCCCACAGGTGTTCAACTGGACTGAGATCTTGACTGTGACTGTGGACTGTGAAGGCCACAGCATCTGGTTCACATCATTTTCATACTCATAACCATTCAGTGACCCTCGTGTCCTGTGGATCATCCTGGAGGATAGCACTCCCATCACGATGGAAACGTTGCATCACAGGATAAGACTGACCACTCAGAACAACTTTGTACTGATTTGCACTGACCCTTCCCTTTTAGGGGACAAGTGGAGCCAAACCGTGCCAACAAAATTCCCCCCACAGCATAACAGATCCACAGGATCCCCTCCCTGTAGGGGTCAAACATCCAGGTTTTTCCTTTAACTTGTCCTTCGTTTGTACATATGTCTTTGTCTTCTATAACTGTGTCTGTTATCAGACTGAATTAACAGCTGCCTCAGGGCCATTGACCCCTAGAGACCTCAACAGTGTGGCAATTGAGGGAATTTATATCTCTGTTTCAAAATTATGGACAACTAAAGCAAAATACCAATAACAATTTCACAATAACAATAACCATTTTTGAAAGGCCTTATTTTCTAAGCACATGTGTCAAAGTCCAGTTTTAACACCTTAATTCTTTCACCTGATGTTGAGGTACTTTCCTAGAATACCAGTTGACCAGCATGTGGTTTAACTGTGATATCTGTGGTGGAGAAAAGTACATTTCTCAAGTACTACAGGTATGGGACGTGTTCACAAGTCTATCATCAGACAAGTCAGCAGGAGTTATTGTTGGTCACTTTAATCTTTCCTTGTGTCATGCTGGTCATGAGCAGATCCCAATTCTAAGTTCAGGGAAACTCTAGAACCATCTGTCCTTCAGTGTCAGATCATCCCCATCTGTCCCTCAGTGTCACATTGTCCCCATCTGCTGCCACTTTTAAATGCCGGCTCAAGACTCACCTTTACACTGTTGCTTTGGGGTCTCGAAATAATTAACATAATGAGTGTTCAGAAAGTCTTTAGACTATCAAAGTCCTTTTATTTCTGTAATTTATGTTAAAGCTTTGTCTGCCTGGTTTTAAATTAGAATTAAATTTTAATTTCTCTCTGTAGAGCACTTCTTTCAACATCAGTCATTTTTAAATGTGCTCTATGAATAAATTTGACTTGAAAGATCCCTCCTTGGCTTTTGATAGTCAGGGTTTCCTTGCTGAACTGCAGGGACACTATAAGAAAGAGGAAATATCTTATAAAAACACCAACTTGACAAGATGTATGGCTCAGACCGCTGAAGACTCCTGTCATCTTCAGATGAATCTGACAGTCTGTTTTGCACTAGAAGAGAGCTGTGGGTTTGGTCCCACAAAGTAAACTCAGACTCAGATGTGAGTATTATTTTAAGATAGACCTGAAATATTTTGAATGTGTCCTTTAAGTACAATTTGTGGCAAACCTCACTTGAGTATCTTCAGTCAATTGCTTTTTGCCATTTTTTGTGTAGTTAACAACTGAAACTACAAAGGAATGATTTTGTATTTGTAATTTTTCCATGCTACATGTGAGCTGCTTTTCAATGTTGGCGAGGACTTTTCCAGAGCCTGTTGGATAAGAACTTCCAGAGACCCCTCATGTGTTGTATAAACAAGAGATTGTGCTCTGACAAGTAAACAGATTTCTTTAGACCAGTGTTCAAGCTGTTCACACTGTCTAAAAAGGCACAAATTGAAAACTGTTTAGTTGTTAAGACTGTACAAGTCAGATGTTACAAACCTGACAAACAGGCCCATTTTTGTAGACCTGAAGTCGGTCAAACAAATGACAATGGTGCAAGTTAAACAATAAAGAAAAACAATATTTTAGTTGTAGTCTGATGATACAAAATCTAGATGTTTACAGAAGCCTAGAAGTCTTAACATTTTGATCTGAAAGCTGAATCCACATCTCAGACTGGACTCGTCAGCTCCAACCAGAGTTTTGAAGCAGGGAAACATTTCTCTCTGGAATTGATCTGAACCGATCCTGACACATTCACTTCACCAGGAGGAATCTGCTGTCTGTGTTCCTTCTGCACCCCTCTGTGATCTGTAGTGGTCACAGAGGCGCTCTGTTGCCTCCAGTCCATTGCTCCTCAATGGGCTGTCAGCTCCCAGAGAGCGCGGTGCATTGAATAGGTCTCAGTTGTCCTTCATCCACCACATCAGCTCTTCTTTTTTCACCTCATTTATCAATGCCATAGGAACCATTTGGGCTTTTTCGCCTATGACTTAACTTTACATTAGTGAAGATCGCCCTCTGTGTTCTAATATGCCAAGATGACCGAACAGCCTACAGATTGTTCCATCATTAATAAAAGAATTGTCAGTTACAAAAAATAGAACAAAAATTCTGAGTCCTCCTCTCCAACTTCTCGGTCCAAATGCAGTCGATGCTCGAGTCCAAGTCAAAGTCCAAGTCATCAGTGCTCAAGTCCAAGTCAAGTCATGGGTCCTGAAATTCTAGACTCAAGTCAGACTCCAGTTCGTGTCCTGGATTTGGGTATTACAACACTGCTTATGATCTATTGTTATGGCCCTGAGGCCTTAGGCTGAACAATTATGTTTTGTTCCCTGTGTTGTTTGGTATAACTGTGCTGGGGTTAGGGCTGTGTGCTGCTGCGTGTGTGTGTGTGTGTGTGTGTGTGTGTGTATGTGTTCTCTCTGCTCAGACTACAGGAGGATGCTGTAGTCTGTGGGTGTTGGGTGTGGTACTGCCAGGGCCTATCCCTCAGCGTACAGGGGGACACCTCTGGACTGGCCCTTGTGCCCGGAACCGAAGTGAAAAGAACAGCCAGTCCACCATTCATCGGGCACCTGTCGTATGAGGAGGCCGGCTGTCCCATACTGCTCTGTGGATCTAGTTTGGATGTTGTTAGTTAATGGGGAATCCCTCTTTGGAGAGAGAAACTTCCAGACAGTGGCCTGTTTGGGTACTGCCAGCCACTGTAGTTAGGCACAGCCGGGAACCATTGCTAAGTGGGGATTTAATAGTAGGTCTGACTGGAAGTGATTGAATCTAGAGCTGGGGTTGGTTCTCCTTTGTTGGTGCTAAGGTGTGTGACACTGTGTTAGTCCCATGGCTAAGCTGTGCTCATTTATGTCAGCTGAGGAGTCTATTAGTCAGCTGTTCTTGGACTGCTTGTTTAGCTTAGTTCGAGTCCCTTCCCCTCCTTTTTGTTAGGAGTTTGTTCATTTGTTTTGGGTTGTACTTTTTGTTTAGCTTTTTCTGTAAATAGTTAATTAGCTGTGCAGACTCCCTTTCCTCTGTAAGCCACTAAATAAGGTTGTGTAAATAAACATCTGGCAGGGAGCCATAACATCTGGTTATTTCAAATGTTACTTCCTTTCTTCTAGTGCCAACTGGGTCAGTAACATTTGTTTTCAAAGATCTATGTCCTTAATAGGAACCAGTGGGCTGGGACATCACAAAGTGTAGATGGACTTACACAGTTTCCATCTTTTCATGATGTCTATTGGCAATAAGATAAATACAGAATAAATCCAGATCTATAAAAAACTAAAAATAAAAAGGCATCTGTGGGTAATAAGTTAAAATGCTGAATAAGCACATCCAGTAGCCTGGTTTCCATCAGTCTCCATCATTCACCTGAGTGGACTACACGCTTCCTGATCATTCTCAGTCAAACAGAGGCCCCTGTCATGGAGTAGGGGGATCAGAGTGTGTACTCACACTCACATACTGGCACACACACCACTGCCCCCACGCTGTTATTATGAGGTGAGGATTAGAAGCTGACAGAGTATGAAGGGACTGGTTTTGACTTGGGCTAATGAGAACACCCAAAAGCTTTAGTCAGCAAATGACCCCAAGGTCCCAAACTGTCCACAGCTGTGCTGTGTGGAAACAGACAGTGTACTATGTGCAGGTACAGATAGATGACAGCTTTGTATTCACACAGCCTGTGATAGGTTATAACGGAATGCACTGAATTATAACACAGTTATCTAGCATTATATAGACTATATTTAGCTATACAGTCCGTGTGACAGTCGGTATAACAGTTACCAGTCATCTGCAGGTGAACACAATGTGTGTGATGGGGGTCTGGCGCCCCCTTTATTCCAAACATATACCACAAGTTGAAGACAAATCCTCTCTCCCAAATAACTATAAAATGATAAAATTGTTATTTATATAACTCCACATATTTCATTTAACTTGTTTTTAACTAGACCCATGTCAGACTGGCCTTACATGACCAGATGGAGAGCCCCTTTTTCACTGAACACATTCAGATTCATACTGACGCTGACCTAAGATGAATGTGTATATTCAGTATATGGGATCATCAGCTGCATTTACAAAGTTGGGAAAGTGAACTTTAAATGTTCTGTGATGAGTGACAACACCTACTGACCTTCAGCTACTGATCTCTGTGAACTGATTTCCTGCAGGACTCTCACATAAGTCAAACCACAGAGTTATAATAAAATCGAGCGGAAGTTGTGCGATTTGGCCTTCAAAATAAAGCTGCAAGTAAATTTTATTAAACACTTTATTCCCTATTTAAAAATTAAATTGTTCACCATTTTAGCAAACTTTTCAGAGGTGCAGAAGAGACTGCCTGTTCCAAGACTAAGAACTGCCCACTGTCATATTGTCATACTGCAAATTGATCATAATAATCAATCATAAACCTGCTTTACCATCTTTTAAATATTTTTTTCAGTACCTATAATATAGTCTATATATTTTGTTATTTACACTTAATCTGTTATATGTTTAACTATATAAAAAACTTTTTAAAACATTTTGCTTAACGCTTTTTTCTCAGCTACAAGTGACTAATTAATTTGTGCAAATTATTTGCTGCTGCTGTTGGTCATTTGCAATACTGTCCATGTATACCTCATATGCTATTTGCACCTCATCACCAACGCCCTGGTGATGCTGAACCATCTGACAATCTCCTATTACTGTTTGCACTACTGTCACTGACTGTACACGGTTTTGAGTCACAGCTTATTGACTGTACCGTTTAGATTTCTCCCAATTATATCAATCCAGTTCTTATTCTATTCCATTGTATTTTTATTCTACTTTACTCTATTTTAGTTCCTAAATGTTATGACACAGTATAGGTGAGAGAAAAACGGTATTTCGATTTTCTATATGTCCTGCACATATGGTGACTTGACAGTAAAATCCTTGAACCTTATTTGCTTGTTATTACCAAACTGAATGATTCATTAAACATGAACTTAACCGAAGTAAACACAAAAGGTCCGGTAATTCAGTTTTATTTTAAAAGATCAAACCCGGAAATGCTCCGCTTCGTCTTCAAGGCTCTTGACTTGGTCTCGGTGCGTCAACTCGTCCAATTGGATTCATTTCAGCTGTGGATAAAGGCACGAAGCTGTGCATTTAACGAGTGTAGAGGCTAATTGATAATCAATGATCCGCACTGGATCGGTTCAGTGAAACTTCTGATCAATTTAAATATTAGTCTATCCGCCGCTGCTGGTGTTGGTTCGGATACTGGGCCCGTACTTTGTATATGACTCTTAGAATTGACTAAATAGTTTGGATTAAGCTCCTTGTGGACCCTGACTAGGAGTTTCCAGCCCACCACCATCATGTACCAGCCCGACCCGCTTATCTCGCATCCAGGAGAAAGATGAACTCCGACACCTCAACGACCGCCTCGCCAACTACATCCAGCGGGTCCAAGAGTTGGAAAATGAAAGGTCCTCCATGTTGATTCTGCTGGAAGAGAAGGAGGAATCGAAAAGCCGGGAGATGGGCAACGTGCGGCGGCTGTACGAGGAAGAGTTGGCCGATATCAGAAAGTCCCTGGACGGCCTTGCCGGCGAGAAGGCCCGCCTGCAAATCGACTATGGAGGTCTCTGCGAGGAGTACAGCAAACTTAAAGCCAGGTAACGTCAGCGACATAGGCCTGTGGCTAGAGTCACGCCAGTGTCGTAGAAGCCGTGACAATGTGCGTGCAAACCCGGCGTTACACGGACACAGCTGTCAGCATGTAGCCAGTCCACCCTTCAAATGTTTATCTGCTGTGTTTCCAGATAAAACTTGTTTCTGTAAATGTCTGCATTTAATTTAAGCGTTTGATTCCAACGTTGGCCGATCTGACTTGTGATGTGTAGTAAATGTTTTTATGCTGTGTCCATGTTCCATCGAAGGCACCTGCAGCTGGTATGGGTTAAAAATCACCTGACCACTTAGAAAAGGCGTTTGGTTTTATTCTTTGTCCGCAGATGTGCACAGCATTGTATTTCCCCGTTTGTCTGTGGGATGTATAGATTTGCAGACTTGAGATGGCACGTGCCTAGATTTAGAACCGCCCACTGTCATCACACAGATACAAAAGGTAACGCTGTAGGTTTTTTTAATTTTTTTTTTTTCACCTTTAACTGAATTTTCTAAGGTGGAAGAGGTTTGGGAATAGTAGATGGGTTTATACATTTTAAAGTGTTCAAACAGAGGAGGCCTTGAAGTTGTATGTTAGTGAATAAGGCAGCATTACATATGCACCTGTTTGAATGGAGCTTGGCATGGAATCATGTATAATTGTTCTGCTGATCTCTTTCTGCAGAAACCAGAAGAAGGAGAGTGATCTGGGGAATGTGTTGGCCCAGCTGAGGAAAGCTGAGGCCACACTGAGCTCCAAGGATGCTGAGCACACCAAGCTGCTGTCTGAGAACAGGAGGCTCCATGATGACTTCTCTGATCTGCAGGGGCTGCTGGAAAATGTACAAGCTAAAGCTGTCTGCATGGTGGTAGTAGTCTTGAGGGACTTAAACAGACCAGTTAATTTGCACCGATGAACAAAAAGTAACCCGATGTATTCATTAGCCCATTAGAGAGGGGCCGAACCAGCTGACCCAGAAGTAGCGAAGCCATAATGATGATGATGATGATGGTGGTGTACTAGTATGGAAGTTCATGGTCCCCATAGGATTAGTCTGACTTGCATCAGTTATTCTGTAACATTTTCTCTAGCACCATCATCGATACATTTTCCAATTCTTTGATTCTGTATGAAGAAATGTCTCTGACATTTCCATCAGCCTCTGTACTTTGTATTTAGTGCCAATTGGCAAAGGATATCAAACAGCAGCAGTGCTGTGGCTGAGTGCAAAGTAGAGCTGCTAGCGTGGCTGTGGACCTGTCTTGTCTGACTCCGGACAGAGCCAGGCTAGGTTTTCCCCCCGACTCCCAGTCCTTATGCTGAGCTAAGCTAACTCAGCTCTGTGCACACAGACATGAGACAGCCATCTCATCCAACTCTCAGTAAACAAGCACATCATACATGTTGAACTAATCCTTTAAGTATCGATTAGTTGGTTGAATGGCAAATGAAAATGGCTGTCATCATACCATCACCTTATTTCCTGTCAGTTGTGTTCAGGATAAAATGCTCCACAAATGGTAAATATAGGAAATAAATGTCACAAAATAACAATTTTTTTTTTTTTTTTTTTTTTTTTAAGAGCCCCACATTTAAAGCTCACATTACTCACTGTAACAGAGATGAAGCTGATGATGGGGACAGACTCTGTGTCTGAAATGAGCTAATGTATTCAGATAGGGTCAGGTGTTACTGTTTGCTTCAAACAATGTGTGTGTCACCAGGTGGAGGGTGTGCTGGCAGACACCAAGAACCAGCTGGCCTCTGAGATCCTGAGGAGGGTGGAGATGGAGAACAAGGTGCAGACACTGAAAGAGCAGCTGGATCTCCAGAGGAACATCAGTGAGCAGGTAACTCTCAGTGCCCCGCTTACTAAGCTTCACCCCAACCTGTTTCTGAACTCACATAATTCTTGTTTTTCGCTGAGTATTGTTTGTTTTCTGTGTCACCTCAGAGTATTACTCACAGCTCGGTGGTTGTATTTTCTAGGAGATCATGGAGATCCGAAGCAGGCATGAGAGCCGTCTAGTGGAGATGGATTCAGGACGACGGAGAGAGTTTGAGAGTAAACTGGCTGAGGCGATGCAGCAGCTCCGCCAGGACCATGAATCTCAGCTGCAGCAGTACAAAGAAGAGATCGACAGGACCTTCAGTTCAAAGGTACAACACAGAACCTGGAATGATGCTTCAGAGAGTTTCCAGGTTTATTCCCCACCGTATCTGATATTCTAAACCTTTGTCTTTGCATCGACTTCTTTCTGCGGTACAGTTACAGAATGCCCAACAGGCTGCCCTGGAGAAAAATAATGTTGCGTCAGCCACCAAAGATGAACTGGAATCTACCAAGCTGAGAGTGGAGACGCTCAGTTCCCAGCTCAAGCAGTACCAACAAGATGTAAGTTCAGTCCTGAACAAAAGGTGTAGACATCCGTTAATAAAACATCAACTGTGTAGAAAATACAGCCTCAAGCCATCATGTTGGCAGCTGGTTCCAGATTTCTGAATCGCTCTCTGCGCTTCCAGATCTGCCTTGTGTTGTAATTGCTGTTTGTGCCAGCAGAGGTGCACATAATGGCTACATTAGGGGGAAACAGAAATGACACTGATGTGAGCAAATCTTCTTCTTTCGGCTGTTCCCATTAGGGGTCGCCACAGCGAATCATCTGTTTTCCACCTAACTCTATCCTCGGCATCCTCTACTCTCACCCCAATTAACTTCATGTCCTCTTTTAGCACATCCATATATCTCCTCTTTGGCCTTCCTCTTGACCTCTTGCCTGGCAGCTCCATCTCCAACATCCTTCTACCAATAAAACCACTATCCCTCCTCTGCACATGTCCAAACCATCTCAATCTGGCCTCTCTGACCTTGTCCCCAAAACAGCCGACCTGAGCTGTCCCTCTGATGTGCTCATTCCTAATCCTGGCCATCCGGGTCTCTCCTAAAGAGAACCTCAACATCTTCATCTCTGCTACCTCCATCTGTGCCTCTTTTCCTCACTGCTACAGTCTCTAACCCATACAGCATAGCTGGTCTCACTACTGTCTTGTACACCTTTCCTTTGATTCTTGCTGCCACTCT